AAATGCCACATTGATTCTAGGTCAATAGCTGACTATAAGATATTACTAGCATTGTAGCTTGGCTTTAATGGAATATCGTATAGTTAGTGAAATGCCACATTGATTCTAGGTCAATAGCTGACTATAAGATATTACTAGCATTGTAGCTAGGCTTTATGCCACATACGTTCTAGATCTGGAAATCAGTAAAACTGGTGGCTATTTTGAAATTGATAAAAAGATGTTTCACTCTATTCTTCCAGTAATATAGTTTCATAATATATGCATTTAATTTGCATATCATCAATATTAAAACCACCTTGTAACTACTTCACACTAAATATAGTTTTATTTATCTTTTATTTTCAGACATTGCTGAACCAGTATGATCCCCCAATGTACATGGCTTCCTTGATACCGTCATATGTCATTATGGTTCTGATGGGTACATGGGCTTACTATGTGGCAGGCGGATCGTTCCAGAATGTACTGGCGTTTTTTACGTGCAAACATGGAGGTTATGACTTTGATTAAAGTTGAACATTTAATATGAATATGATTACAAAATAACCGCACAATATATGGATTTGTAAACTGCACAAATTTAATGTCGTTTTTCAGCTTTATGTATTTCTCCTTCACAGTGCACTAGCTTTGTATTATCAGCTGTTTCACCTGAATTTACAGTCACAATTCATGTATGGGTGCTAAACCTGCAGTGTGGTGTACCTTGTTAATGATCATTCACCTTCAACAATCATTCATCCATCCCGCCTGAGTTCAACTGTGTCAAAAATCTAGTTTCTCTTTCCTGCCACTTTTGGATTTTTTGTTTATATAAGTTATATTACCCAGTAATCACCCCACCATTATAATGTACACAATTATTATAGGGGATGATACAGTTTTATTGAATGGTTCATAGCAACAAAATTTAACGATTTTCCCTGACCTGTCAAATTTGCAGAAAATTAACTGGCAATTAAAATTGTTTTCAGTAGTTCATTCCACTTCAGTACTGTGAAATACTTTATTTTCACTTGGAATTCATTTTCATTGAAGGAGAGATCAACTAAAGATAGAGAAATACTAGTTACTTATACATAGTGCAAATACTTTTACTAGAATCAACCCCTTCAAAATTTCAGAATCAAATTTCCAGCCCATTACTTAACTACCGGTAATTAATTTTCATATGATTTCATATTGCTGTAAGTGTTATAGAGTTAATAATGATATTGTTATATATAAACCCTTTATATTTTGTATATTTAAGGAGAGTTTTTGTTTTAGTCATAAGCATTCGGAAGGGAAAAAATTTACATTCAATCTGATACTTTATATGAATATATGGGATGTAGTTGTCAAGGGAACTGATATTTTAATTTGCTCCATCAGTTGCTCATATGCTTACGTATATGACAAAGATGTGTCAATTGTCAAAATAGGTTGTATTTTAATGATCCAGTATACAATAATTGTTGGTTTATTTTGCATTTTTATTGGATATGTGCTTCTAATAGAGGAATTAATTTTATAGAAATTGTATCTGTATAGAAGATAGCCACAAGTTAGAACAGTTAAGTTATTCAATGGAAGTGAAGATAGTATTTATGGCCATTTTGACTGCTGACAATTTTTTTATATGATTTAGTAAGAACTTAATATAATAATTACTAGTGAAGAAATGATTGTATATCAGGATCCTACAGTTGTTTTAGTGTGTTGATATTTTTGGTATCATATCAATGATTTTCAGCGAGACCGAATATTGTTGATCATTTTGCTTGCCCATTTCAATTTTTATTCAAATTGTATTTGCTAATACTTTTGAATCATATTATAAAATATTTTCTGTTAATTGTACCATCAAATGTGGCACTTAATTCTCAGTACCTCAAATACAAACACACACATTTTTTGGAATGTTTTTACAATGCTTTGTGTATTGCATCATGGGAAAAGGTTATACATAATAACTGATTTATTCTGAGTGTGTTTTATCAGGTATCAACTTGTTAAGAAGCTGTCCAAAATATTTGAGTGAGTTCTAATTTAAATATAATTCTAGTCGGTTTAGTCGCTAAAAACAGAAATCATTGATAGGCACATGTAGTGTCAAGACATGATGAAAGTCGCTTATTAAATTAACTGGTTGCAAGTAGACAGAAAAATAAATGAGCATGATCTGAACCATAAATTTTGAATAGCAGATATGACTCTACTACTTTGGTGGATCACTGATGATTCATTGCATTTCTTTTTGCCATTCTTTGCAAAACATCATGCTCATGTTTGGTTTGTACTGTAGAACACAAAACATGTTGACCCAGGAAGTTCGAAAGTGGCGTGTTTACTGCCGAATCGAACAAACGCGCTGTATTCCAGGTACTAATAATAGTCCAATAAACTTGAAGGTAGTTACCATTAAAATGTATTATAATATGCATGTAGTCACTGTAACAATGGCATTTTTGAGCCATTTACAGGTGCAGTCGGTTTCTATAGTAACAATGTCAAATTTTGGTCAGTGAAAAAAAAAATCATGTGTCGAAATTGTGATATTTTTCTCCCAAAAAAATATAGGCTAGGTCAAAAGTCGATGACTTGTGTACAAATCAACAATTATGTAACAGTTTTGAACCCCTTCCAAAAAAAACCCCATAATTTGTTCTTGTATTCAATAGGCTGAATGCTCCACGAATAACAGTAAAAGTATCCCATAATGCAACGTCCACACGATTTGAACCCAGTAGTTCAGTAATTAAATTTGGTTGAGTACATATGTAAGCAGTGTATCACTTCATTGTATTAAAAAAACATACCAGCCCTCCACGTTTTGTTTCTATAGTAATCTGTGTATTTAGTAAATACCTTCAGATATTATGGGACCCTATTTTAACAAATTACTGTAATAATTCTAGAGCAGTGTATCCATGTGCAATATACTCTCATTCTGGATAACCCATAGATGTTATTTATGGTTCATTATAAATATTCACCCTTTTCACCACAATATTCTCGCCCAAATTTATCTGCACTTTTTAGCTCTGCTTATACGAGTGATTGTCCGTGTCAACTTTTTACTTTTTCGACTTCTTTTTCAAAGCTACATTTCTTATTGTTTTGATACTTGGTGTATATGTACCTTGGGCAGACCTCTCTCGGATTTGTTCATTTC